GTCTCCACTGAAACGGAGGAATTCCGTCTTTTTAAGATTTATTTATTTATTTATTTTGGTTACATGGAAGACCAACAGCTTATCTTAATATACTAGAAATGAATAGTAGTGACAAAGAGCCAATTACAGGTCCTCACATCTAGATATAACTTAAAAGAATAAAGAAACTATTTGCACTGTCTAATGTAGAAAAATCTCTTAAATATATAGTTTTATAAATGAGGTCCTTATGATAAATAACAGAATAACGAATTACGAACATGTTAATAACTAACACTTCTATGAATTTAAAGTCTCAAATAAATGTTTGTTATTATTACATTAATTTTTATCTCCATAAAACAAACGAGCAATGATACGTCTAATCGACGCTTCGCTAGTGTTAAAAAGATCTAAAGGACAATGGCGAACTCCCATACAATTTTTTGTTGAAATTTTTTCTTGCGTCTATAAATGAATTGCATGTTAAATTATAGAGTTTACATTCTTGATTTGATTCATCTTATTCCTTATATTATAGGAAGTCTGGATTTATAGATAAGTTGATTTCATCACTAAAATAATTTAAAATGAATGGCTCAAAAGCCATCATGGCCAAGCCACAATAAAAATAAAAAATAAATAGTCAATTGTGTTTCCCTTTTTTTAAGTTTTTAATTCCAGACTTAGACAACCCTCCTCAATTGTTTAATAAATCTTTTGAGATTATTTTATTAACATTTCTGATAATGACATCTATAGACGCTATAGATTTACTTCAACAAATATTTCGCCATTGTCCTTTACCTGCTTTGATAGTGAGTTGAAGCTGCTACTCGCTCGACAAAGAAAAGCGTTCTGCCGATAATTGTAGAAGTAGGGGGGATACTTAAAATAGGATTAATCCTAAGGGGTTTGGGGGGAACTCTAAACAAGATCTTTGATAGGAGTTCCGGGCAGTCAACAGCTCAATTTTATTGTGTAGCTAACGCAGTTGTTCCACCGCGGGTTAAAAAAAATTGAGTGTGTCAGCTCCGACGCACGACTGGAGTTTACTCCTTAAGTTCGATAGTCTAACTAGACGCAAAAAGAGTTTATTTAACTTAAAAAAGATTGATACTGTATGAAAGGGTAAATTAACAAATTAACGAAAATAATATACATATATAAATATATATTTATTCATTTCATATACATTTGTTATAACTAATCGACGAAATATTTTACATTAAACTTTTTACAATAGTCAATTTCAGATGTGCATAAATATATCATTAGGAATGTTGATAAATTATGTAATTATTATTATCAGACTATTATATTTTTTTTAAATATTAATTATATCAACATTGTCTGCATTATTAATTACAGTGACAAGTGGTTTATGGTTATTAATGTCAATCCGTCATCTTTGTTTGTCAAAGTTGCGCGACATAGGATGCGCACCAAAAATGTAACGAGGTCATTCATCGATAGATTTTACTCCTCACATTTTTCTCATACCGGGCCCCTTATATATGCAAATCGATTCTTAAGGAGTAAACTCCAAAAACCCGGACAAGCGTACAAAAGTAAGTTTTTTAGCCTACCTAACTTAGAAGTGTGATTTTTACAGCTTTAAGGGACCGTGGATTTGAGTAAGTAAGTATATGATTTAAATTTTAACTCGATACCTCCACGCGTTCACAGAATTAGGGGTCTCAATAGACGGACAACAAAGTTAATTTATAAGTGATTTTTTGAAGTTATACTTCTTTAGGCGCGTTATGAAAAAATGATGAGAGTGAAATTTTAAGATGCGCGCGCATCACTGTAACACAAAATTTTAACAGCATGAAGTTGGTCGCTTTAGCGACCAACTTCATGCGTTACTTTTGTGTTTACCGCACATTAAGAAAATCTACCAACAAAATAGAAATAGAATCTCTATTTAGTGGGTGCTAACGACTGCATTGTGAAGGCCTATCAAAAGTATTAATTAATCTGGAACAACGGAACCAAAGCGCGATTCAGGAGACTACAGCGCCATCTCTTGACCATTGGTGTAGTAGAACCAAAAACCACATCTTTATTTTTTGTAATAAAGTAACAGTAGGTATTCATATTTATAATATTTATCCACATGTTTCACATACAAGTGCAAATCACATATGTTCTAATAAATTATATTCAGTAGCGATTTTAATTGAATATTTTGATTATTTATTTATTTTTTCAAATTAAAACTGAACTTTGTTAACTGTGTCCTTTTCCAGACTTTTTATTAATTTATTGTAATTAATTATTTGCATGCAATTAAAAACTAATTTTAAACGATGCCAAAGAAGGATAACTTCTCACGCGCCTACATAAGTACACGCACCCATTTTTTCTTTCATTTTGAGGTACAAAACCGTAATCAAAGGAGTTGGCTCTGACCAGTGAAAACCTATCAAAACAAAATACTACACCATGATTTAATTTGGCAGTCTTTTGCAGAATTAAACACATTTTGACTTTCTTTTTTTTTGTTTTGGGAAACAAACAATATTTTATTACATTTAGATAAATTACATATAGATTAACATACATCAACAAAGTTTCCACTAACAATTAGTAAAGCTATAAGCAGCTGTGTATTTAATAAAAAATCATATAAAGTTAAATTAAATACAACATTAATTGAATTGAAATAAAAAACAAAGCAACAGAGAAGTTTACACAAATCAAATTGACAAATTAATAAATTTTAATAATAACAGTTCATTCATTCAATTACATCATTTAACTTCATAAAATAATTATGATTGCAACAAAAAATATTATGCATAAGTACCTATTACACATATAGTAGCTTTTGTCAGCGTCTTAATACACTCCGCAGAATTCCGTTTCCGGTAAAATTTCAGGAAATACTTTCATGCGATACCCGCTTCCTGTCATGAACATTATGTCAATTTTCAACTTTGTTGGTTTCAAAACTGTTGAGCTTTTATTTACTTGAGAATAGGAGAGATGGATGGATGGAGGAGATCGATGGCGCAAGTGGTTAGCGCGTTCGGCTGCAATCGTTGAAGCTAAGCAACTTTCGCAGTGGTCGGTCATTGGATGGGTGACCAAAAATTTTCTCTCTCGAGCTTCTCCGTGCTTCGGAAGGCACGTTAAGCCGTTGGTCCCGGCTGCATCTGCAGTCGTTAGCACCTGCCAGTCCGCACTGGGCCCGCGTGGTGGGCCATGGTTCAATCTCCCTATACCATCTACAGGGAAGGCCTGTGCCCCCGCAGTGGGGACATTAATAGGCTGATGACGAGGAGAGATGGAGTACAGCGGATTTTCTACTCCGTTTAGAACGCCCATCTGTCAAACTACTTCCACCTTACAGAATGCCGTAGTGAAATAATACCAGTTGCTAGTGTTGTGTTTCTGTTGATGAGTCAGAGTCAAACATCTTTTTTCAATTTGAATGCATTATAAAACACTTTTGTGTATATGTGTACATATATTTTTGTATTGAAAATGCTTTTTCGTTTGCTCCAGTAGGCCCCCATTTTCGCTGAAAGTGCGACTCGCCCGTTATACCCCGAGGTTTAGAGCCACGAGGACGTATGACAGCTTCAAGGACGCGTAATTTTAAGGGTCTTAACGAGATGTAAAATGTTTTTTGGGAAGATCAAAATCATTTTTTGGAAATCGAAAAAACCGACTTTTCTTCAGAAAAATCGTGTGTTTTCACAGAAAATTTCCGATATCTCAAGAACGGGGCCGAATTTCAAAAATATGGAAATAAGCACCTCGGTATTGAACCAAGGAACATTTTAGGTCATTACACTTTTCCGATATTGGTGACGGTTGAGGCTGTAGAGGCGCCCTTGGCCGCGAGTTTTGCGAGGCGCGCGGCTCGCGTGTGCCCACGAGGAAGTATGAGAGCTCAAAAGACGCGGAATTCGAAGGGCTTTGAGATGATGTAAAAAAAGATTTTAAAAGTTGTTTTTAAAAGAAAGAATTTATATTTTGTGATTTACTAGTGGCCCGCCCTCGCTTCTCTTCGGTGTAGAGCTGTAGTGTAAACTATAGTTTTTGTTCTCAGGCTTGTGCTATAAACAATGACTTTATTTATATAATTACACGTGTTATTGTGAGTCAACCATAATAGATAGACATATGCTTTTGCGGGATATTTTTTAGACAATTTTATGTAGAATATTTCCGTCATACATGATTTCTATTTAACTTTAACCATTAAGGCTACACACGCGACGGAAGCTTAAAAAATGGAGTAACTTCTCCCGTTTTCCTAACATTTCCCTTCACTACTCTGCTCCTATTGATTGTAGCGTGATGAAAAGTATACTATAACCTGCCCAGGAGTATGAAGAATAATTGTACCAAGTTTCGTTAAAAATAGTTTTTGTTTATATAAGGAACATACATACAGACAGACAAAAATTTTACTGATTGCATTTTTGGCATCAGTATCGATCACTAATCACCCCCTGATAGTTATTTTGAAAATATATTTCATGTACAGAATTGACCTCTCTACAGATTTATTATAAGTATAGATAATAGGTAGATTCAGTTTCAATGCCCTTTCAAGTTGTGTAGAGCACGAGATCTGTGATTTTTTGTTCTACTGCTAGTTATGAACGGTTTTGACTAACCCAGAAGAAGTATGCATTCGAAAATACAGACGCAGGCTAGCAATTCCACTCCTTTACTGTGCGAATTATAGTAGAATTTGGAAAGCGCTACGATCCCTTCTTGGTAGTTATTACTTATCTTCTCACCAGACGCATTTCAAAATTTTTCGTGTATTCTAAAACCAAGCATATTTGTCTCGCCTTGTTGTCGCCAACGTATGGACAGGCAGCTCCACAAAGCTCGTCTATATAATGCCACTTGCATTGGTCTTCTTTAAAGTTGCCCAACGTCTAAACAGTAGCACTTGCTTGGGTTACTCGACCAACACGTATTGGCCGATGAGTTGCCAAACTCACCGTGCGTTGCAAGTCCTATAAAGAAGGTAGTCAGATATAGCTCACCCTGCTCGCAAACGTATCCAGCCACGGTGATGCCGAGCCCCAGCGCTGAATCCTTGTTCAGCTCCACCTGGTAGCTGAGGGTCTCTGGTTCTCCGCTGCCTCGCACCGCCATGTCTAGTGGGAGCCTGGACAATGATGTTTTGAACATATTGAGCCAGCACCCCAATTTAATATCGCTTATTCAATTTAGGCTGTTTTGATAGCGTTAGTGTTATCAGATTTATAATTCTCAAGGTGCTGCTCTGTATTGGCAAGAAGTATAGTGTCTACATATTATGAGGAGTTCGAGGGCGCAGATGGTAAGCGCATTCGGCATGTGATCGTGAAAGTAAAGCATCTTTCGCAATGATCGGTCATTGGATGGGAAACCAAAAACTTATCAACTCTCATTCCTGCTGCTGCTGCATCTGCAGTCGTTAGCACCCACCAATCCGCACTGGGCCCGCATGGTGGGTGTTGGCCCAGTCTCCCTATTCCATTCATAGGGAAGGCCTGTGCCCCAGCAGTGCGGACATTAATAGGCTGATGATGATATTTGACCGGTTTTTATAAGAGGTATAATACCCAAAAGCCCTACCTCTTTCTTGACTGTCCTAATACTTAAAAGAAAAATATAAGATAAATAGTATAGGGATGTTCATTAAAGGCTTCCTTTTCTTCTTTCTTCTGGATAACAGCGTAGACCGAAATCAAGAAGAAACATGTGTGTTAGGTTATATTATTAATCCATTTGATGGTGTTACAAAACTCCTTTGATGTCCTAAAAATCTGATGCTTCCAATGATGGTGATCGGTTCGGTTTATGATGGTTTCCTGGCAGTTTAACAACACAGATTTCAAGATTAAGGAAGGTGGTATACCTGACAGGTGGAGGTGTGGTCTCTTGCGGGGCGATGATTAGCGGCGGGGGGCGCGGGGCGGGGGCCAGAGCTCCGCGAGGAACCACGGCCACTATTGAAGCCACGGGCTGAGGGCAAGAGAGGTTCATTGGTATAATGCCCCCCAACAAAGTATACACTTATTGTTTTAAACTTTCATGGTCACTAACATTATAGGTATTAACGGGATTACCATGTACCTTGTTTTTGTGAGTCTCCGATATTTCGGCACTATTGCAAGCGCCATGATCACGGAGTATTGCTTTTATGTGTGTCTGCAGTCAGAAACAATGATACGCAAAAATCAGCTATCGCAGAACATTTAATCGATGCGGGTTCTAATCACTGGATTGAGCTACATAATCCACAAATCATCTTGACAGAACGCCACTACACACCAAGATTGGTCAGGGAAGCGATTGAAATAACCAAACACAAAAATTTCAATTGATGATGGGTTTAAATTATCAAGTTTCTGAAATTCAGTGGTTGGTATGTGCAAAAACTACAAAAATCAAAAAAGTGTCGTTCCACGATTTGATACTGTGTGTATTGTGTGTCGGGAACAGGTGCGAGTGAATAGTGAGAATGTGACCAATGGTAGGGGTATCGAGCGCAGTAAAAGACGACGTCAGAGGGTAGACTGATATGTCTGCCAATAATATCTACCCACAATTACTTCAGTTAGAGACAGTTAGTCAGAGACTCATAAAAAACAAGGTACATGGTAAAAATCCCGTTAATAGCTATAAAGTATAGACTATTGTAACTGGCTAATCATAAAACCTTATCATAAATCCCAACGCGTCTGTAGGTGATCGCATCCCGCAAACACCTGCGCGTGCTTGCTTCCCGCGCACTCTGCGGGCTGGGATCACGCTGGCAGTTCTTATCCTCACCCTCCACACACGCTTTTACGATTTCGATTTCAAAAGAAAATTTAGTAATGCGGATTCTAGAGAATGTACTCTGGGAGTGCTATTCAAACTCTTTGGCTGTTGTGAAGCTAGCTACAAGTGCGACTATGCGCAAGTTTCAGTTCAGTGATATTCCACGCGCACTTAAATCATTCTTCTCTACATTTCGTTTACTGCGTCGCGACTTCTGCTAGATGTTAAATCGAAAATAATTTCTTACCCTATGATGCAATCTCTCCTCGATGAAGGTAGGTGGAGGGGACGATGGGGTGGTGTCCTCGCATAGAGCCCCGAAGCCGTCGTGTCCAGCTTCGGCCAACCTTCTCTCCAGTTCAATGGGATCAGCCAACAGTCTGGACGGAACCACGGGCGCTTGGGATGCACCGAGCGACTGCGGACAAAGCAAGTATATATGATTATAATTTTTATTTTTTTAAAGCATGTAACTGATTGATTTTTAAATCTAAAGAAAATATAACTAGAAAAAATTCCACGCGGACCAGGCAGCAGACGGGACTCGAACCCGCACCCTTCGCAATCCGGGCGAATGCACTGACCAATTATGCTACCGCAGCCCTCACGGACAGCGTCGAAATTCCTCTAGCCATTCTTAAGCTGCAAGGCAGCGCCATCTCTTCGCATTATAGGTAACCCACAATGTCAATCAATACTTTTACAAGTATTATACATTTGAAAGAAGAAATAGCAATTATAGTTATAATTTTTATTTTTTTAAAGCATGTAACTGCTTGATGTTTATATCTAAAGAAAATATAACTAGAAAAAATTCCACGCGGACCAGGCAGTAGACGGGACTCGAACCAATTATGCTACCGCGGCCCTCACGGACCGAAGTATATATGAGTTTACACTGTCTCTGAAGGAGTGAGTGAGCTTGAAAAGGGTAATTTATTAAAACTCTTTATGTGTTATGTTAATATAGCATGCGCAGACGAGGGATTTTTTGTCCGCCAGAATAGATCGCTCACAACTGCATCCAGTAACGCACACGAAGTATCAAAATCCCGTATGCAAGAAGTCCCCCGAACAACCGAGAACACTGGGGTACCGGACAGAACGAAAATACGCAGGAGTTTTGGAAAATAATATGACTGACTGACTCTGGGCGCAGCATCGCAATCGGTAAAGTGTCAACCTCGATACATTTTTGAATTTCTGTTTAGATCCAAAAATAATTTCTATGTCTCTAAATTTTGTATTGTATAAGTGTGACATGCGCGTTAGGATAGAAAGGTCCCCATATTTTGTACGAAAAATCGTCAAACATCTATAAGTTTCGGAGGGTAGATCAACAAAGCTCTTTATTTATTTATTTATGGACCATCAACACAGCTATATTAATACAAACAAACTTGCACATATGCTTAAGTATTAGGATATAATATAACTGTAATTAAAGATGGCCTCATCATGCGCTAAACAGTAAACACATTTTTTTTTACATTTTTACATACGGACTTTACTACACAACTCAAATATTCGCCCAATCACAGAACAACCACAACAGTCTAACATGCTCTATAATTATTTAAAAGGGGAGAAAGTGTTCTCCCCAGACCCTATTTGGCAGTGGCCAAATATGGTCGTAAGTTCAGAGAACCCCTTACGTACCAGACCCATTATTGGCAAACTAATTTTAATAACACAAACAGTTAAGTATCTACTTTCTCAGTATTCTAAATATTTTATTTTTCAAAGTTGGTATTTTATCATGAAAAATATCAATAGTATTATCCTTCTTCACAAGCTCACCAATTAATCTACTTAAAAGCGTTACTGAATTTAGTTTGAAATCAATGATCGTCAAAATTAAGGCATGCGGGGAGGGCAAGCTGCGTTTTGATTGGCCTTATAAGGCGTTTAGCAGACGACGACGGGGCGGGGCGGGCCGGTCTTTTTCGCGCTATATAGCACAAAGTGAATCCTATAATTCAAACGCACACAGAGGGCAAAAGACCGCGCCGCAGGTGCCCGACGGGCAGTGGCGGCGCGACATGTCCGCGGCTGCCCGCCGTGGATCATACAAACCAGTTTATATGCAGTAACGCAGGCGGCGGCGCGGGGCGGTCAGCTCAGTCCGCGCCACGCGCTTATTAGTGATGGACTATTCACTAGAACGAACGTCCTGAACTGACCGCCTCTGCCCGTCGTGTGCTTTGTGTACGCGGCGCGGGCAGCCGCAGACATCGACGGGCAGACGCGGTCTTTATTGCTTCGCGGACAAAATGCCCGCCCCGCCCCGTCGTCTGTTCAACGCCTAAAGGTGAAACGATGCAACGTACCTCCCTTTCTCCTTGAACCCAAACACTGGAGTGACATTTGACAAATGAGATGGTTTGCTTCGCCCACGTTTCAAATTTCATAGAGCGTCGTCATCCATTTTGAAATTGACCCAAAGCCTCCGCTCTGAGCTGTCTTTCCGCGAATTGTACAACATAATATAGCGGCTCCAATTCGTTGTGAACCGAATACGAAATTTTACTTCGATCACGCGGCTTGTGTAAATTGAGTAAGTAAATATTCTTTTTTAACGTTCAATATTACCTTTGGCACAACACCCAAATACAAAAATTTAAGTTTTATATAATAATCTCTTTTTCTCGGAGGTTCTCTAAAGAGAGGTTGGACACAATGAAATTCCCGCTTGAATTGGAGCGCCTCCTCCTTACAGAAGATCACAATAAAATTACACTACCGTGGGGTCAAGGGCGGATCTGTGCCCCCCCCCCCCCCCTGGGCTGGGTACATACCTTCTTTTTTTACTTGTATCTATTATTAACAACATTTTATTAAAACTTCTTATGACTTGACAACGGCTATATGACCCCCCCCCTGGCGCCAAAGTTGGATCCGAAACTTAGTGCGAAACCGCGAGATCCCTGTTTAGGGATTCTTCCGCGTCTCCGCACCCAGCAGCTTCCCGACCTAGCCGGGGTTCCACGGCAGGGGTCTCCCGAGGTATTGCGGGGACCCCGCAGACGTGCGCAGGATGGCCCACGCGTGGGGGCTAAATACACGGCCTAGTGCCCACCGTACCGCCCCCCGTCCCCTGCGGAGGACTATTTGGGCGTGCCCGTGTAGCTCCCTGCGCCGCCCCCCTCTTTGCAGGACAGAACTACAAGATGGGGGCTGCCGTCACGGGATTTCTCGGTGGCCGGCACGGCTCAATGCGCCGCCAGCTAGGGATCCCCACGGGCAGGGTCATGGGACGGGCGTAGCCAGGGTACGCACTCGTCCTCTCCCGCCCGCTCTTCTTCGGCGGGAGGGAGCGGCCAGGGGATCATCCTCCCACTCCGTCTCGGCTGCCTCCTTCTGCGAGATAACGTTCTCGCAGAAGGAGGCAGCCGCCTCCCATGCCGACCCGCTACGGAGCATGGCCTCTACCATGCTCCGCAGCGAGAGGGTTCCGCCTCCGAGCGCCACAATCAGGTCGCGGCGCTGCTGCCGCCAGACCGCGTCTCCGCAAACGTAACACACCCTAGCGGCAAAAACTCGTAGTAATAACAAAATCTTTAATACTTAATAAATTTTTTTCAGTTCTTTGACAGAAATCTATTCATTACTAACTTCAATATGTTTCCAATTATTAAACTTGATAATCTTCTAAATCTCCCTATTCCAATCATAGGGCAGGCCTGTGCCCCTGCAGTGGATTCATTAATGGGCTAATTATGAAAGGCATAATGTTTTTTATGTGTGTTTGGGCTTCTCAAATATTCATTACTTAAGAAATACAAAAAACTGAAAATAACCAAACAACAACAAACACATCTAGCACAAAGCGGGGAAGTCATCACAAAACCAAGAAAAAAGCCAATTTAAACAAAATGGGGTAGATCACGGGCTTTAAGAGGATTTCAGCCTGAGGGTCGTAACACAGGTTTTGTAACCTAGTACAATATCCAGCTCTCTCAAAAAACTGCATTGTTTTAACTGTTATTGTCAGAAGTCAGAAGAATGTCAGAAGAGAGAAAAAAACAACCCTTGCTGAGTTTCTTGCCGGTTCTTCTCAGTACAAGGTCTCCCGCCGTAGATTTACGAACCGATGGCGTAGCTTCTAGACATTCATGAGTGCTTGTAACAGCCTAAACTGAATAAATGATTTTGATTATGGTTGTGATTCAATGCCCTTTTACTGAATTATAATGTTACTTTATGAGAGAAAAATAAATCATCAATTCATTCAAAATGTTTATGTTTTGACCAGTGTTGACTGCTCTTCAATAAAACTGACATTTGCGACCCCCATCACAATCCGTTAAAGGCGCTTTATTAGATTAATCAGAGTATCTTAATCGCTGACACTTTCGATCATCTTTCAAAACTCCTACAACTTAGTACTGGGGAGTTAAAACGCAGAAATTTTGCGTTAAATCCAATTTCCTTGGCGTTTCCGACTTTGCCCGGCTCGCTCGGGGGCTCGGGGCATGTTGATTCGAACCGGATTAACCTGCTATCGTCAGATATTCTAAAGCATTATACATAATCTATTCTATACCAACAAATCATTCTCAAATTTCAATTTAAAATAATACCAGTCCTGCGCCGTTCAAATCGACTTCGCATGCGAAGGAGTCTTTCCTACGAAATTGAACACCTAAAATATTCGCGATTTTAAGGTCAAACAAAAAATGTCGTATTTTCTTTTTTTCGATAAAGTGGCAATGGAAATTGTATACACAGTTATTGTTAAGTAATAAACGTTTCATTGAGCATGCATTCATATAAGTTTATAAAGTTACCATTGTAAAGTACGGTGCTCTTTGCATTGAAATTTTCTAACTTTTAATTTTTTTAACAGCGCTCTCAGGGACACATCACAAGTCCCAAAATAATACACTATTAAAATACAAATAAGTATTTAGTACGGCGGCCCCTTGCAGAGATAAATACAGTTTCTGTGAAAATTACAATAAATCGTGCCCGATAAAAAAATATTTTTAAAGGTTAGTTAAAAACGAATAAAACTGTGGCTTCGTCAAAGTAGGGCGATTCTGTAAAAAAATCTCACTTCCGATTTCGGTAGCTGCCATTTTAGACATTAGTTTGATGTGCATTACGCCATTACACGGCAGAATGTCGCTATGTCTGTAGAAGCAGCTAGTATTAGATACATAATTGACATTTGTCAGAAATCCGAATAAATGAGATCATAAGTAAGACTGCATCTTACAGAATACCTGTGCTCATCACGGAGCCTGTTAAATTAAATATTAAATAAATAACCAAAGGTATTTTATACAATGACCAGTGGCCCGCCCTCGCTTCGCTTCGGGGTAGAATTGATCAAAATCCTTTCTTAGCGGATGCCTACGTCATAACATCTACCTGCATGCCAAATTTCAGCCCGATCCGTCCAGTGGTTTGGGC